GCCACGCGGAGGGGTCGGGCCCAGGAAAGCGGGGCCCCCAACATGGCCACCCGGCCGTCCACAGAGCGGGCCGAGGAGACCTCCGCCTCCACTTCCGGAATTTGAACCGGTTTCCGGAAGCCAGGACGGTGTCTCCATGACAACCGACGTTGGGGCTTGAGGTGCGCTGCTTGAGGACTAGCCGAGAAAGTGTCCGGATGTCGGCGCGTTGTTGTTGTTTGGGTTTTGGCTTCTTGCCAAGGCAGCCCCGTTGTTAAAGCGGATTTGGGGAGCGAGGGGGCGTGCCCTGGGGCAAAGGGAGCGCGGCGGGCGGCCGGTGACCTCAACTCTGACCTGCAGGGTGGGGATCATGCTTTCCCGCCTTGCAGAGGAGCTGCAGGGGTAGAGGGAGCTGCCTCGGTGCTGGTAAGTACGCGATAACTACCAGTATCTGATGGAGGAAGCTGGGCGCAGAGAAACCAGTTCCTACCCCCAGCAGGCGGGCCTTCAGCAGGCGAGCTGGGCGAGGCTCCTGACCCCTCAGCCTCTGTGAGATGGGGGTACACGCACGCCAACAGCTGCTGCGCAGGCGGTGTGGGATAAAACAAAGTAGTAAGTCTGGAAAGAGTTGTACATTGTAAAGCATTTTACAGATGTTAATTCAGTCTCAATCTCTAACACCTCAAAACATTTTTAAAAAATATATTTTTATTGATTTCAGGGAGGGAGAGAGAGAAACATCAATGATGACAGAATAACCAATCGGCTGCCTCCTGCTCGCCCCACACTGGAGATCCAGCCCGCAACCCAGGCATGTGTCCTGACCAGGAATCAAGCCATGACCTCCTGGTTCATAGGTCGAAGCTTAACCACTGAGCTACTGCGGCCCGGCCACCTCAAAGCATTTTGAAATTTGTTCATAAATTTAATGCAGATAGAGTAGTCACAGGACACCCCCAGAGCAACTTCTGGGTCTTGTCATATCCTCCTATATAATAAAAGGCTATTATGCAAATCAACCAAACAGCAGAACAGCCGGTTGCTATGACATGCACTGACCACCAGGGGGCAGACGCTCAACACAGGAGCTGCCCTCTGGTCGACAGCGTCCTCCCACAGGGGGAGCACTGCTCAGCCAGAAGCCCTGAGCCGGGCTCGTGGCTGGTGAGTGCAGTGCGGACATCCCCTGAGGGCTCCCGGACTACAAGAGGGCACAGGCTGGGCTGAGGGACCCCCGAATTTCGTGCACTGGGCCTCTAGTATGGAAATAAAGGCCCAGCTTCCATTCCCTGGTGCCCACTGTGTTGCTCCCATAAGCTTACACGCAGTTCTGCGGGAGAGCACCGTCTCCTCTCAGCTTTCTCTGCCTGCACCACTTCCCACTTCTGTGCCAACATGTTCCCGCCTGGTTCCATATCGGCCTGTCAGTAACGTAAGAGACCGCTTTGTGCAATAGGTAAGAGCACCCAGACCAGACTGCCTGGATCCGAATCCCAGCTCTGCCACTTCCAGCAGTGTGACCTTGGACAGATTAGTTCATCTCTCTGGACCTCAGTTGTCCCATCTGTGAAATGGGGAGTAGTATCTTCTTTTGTGAGATTTAAACAATAGGAGTGCTTAGACTGGTCCCCACACACATGTAAAGGATTGCAGCCGCAGTATCAGGATTAGAACCGGTATTATTACACGACCAGACACTCGTGTGCTCCTGGAGCCCTTTGGCCTCAAAGTGGTTGGAAGAGCTCCGAGTGTCCAAGTTCCCAGCCTGGAGCACAGGGGAAGGGTAGGGTGAGGTGCCCGGAGGGAGTGCCTCCCCGGGGTTTGGTGGTGGTGGTGGTTTTGTTCACTGCTGTATCCCAGCACCTAGCATGGTGCCTGGCCCACAATACAGGGTGTCCCAAAATTCACACAAGAAGTAATGTTGATAGAAAACACAGGTTTATAATTAAAAATTTTAAATTTTTTATTGCTTCATAGAATATACAGTATAGGGTTATGTATGGAATAGCACATGCATCCACAACGTGTCACTGTTTGGTGCGAATTTTGGGCTGGAGGCATCATCGGACCATTCTTCTTCGAAAATGCGGCTGCTCAGGCAATAACAAAAGAGTGCGTATGTGCCAGCAAAGCCGTGGAGGCCATTTACCCGATGTGCTATTCCATACACAACCATATACTGTATACTTTATGAATCCATCAAAAATTTACAATTTTTAGCCTGACCGGTTTGATTCAGTGGATAGAGCATTGACCTGTGGACTCAGGGGTCCCAGGTTCGATTCCGGTCAGGGGCATGTACCTTGGTTGCGGGCACATCCCCAGTGGGGAGTGTGCAGGAGGCAGCTGATCGATGTTTCTCGCTCATCGATGTCTCTAGCTCTCTATCCCTCTCCCTTCCTCTCTGTAAAAATTCAATAAAAAATATATTTTAAAAAATTACAATTTTTAATTATAAAGCTGTGTTTTCTATCAAAATTACTTATTGCGTGAATTTTGGGGCACCCTTTAGGTCCTCGGGAAATAGTCATTGTACTCATGAACTTTTAACCACTTTTTTCTCTTTTTTTCGCCCCAACAGGCTCTTGTCTTAGAGTAAAAGAAACAGCTCTGAGTCTTCTCCCTGGGCGCCGGGCGAGTCGGGGACCTGGAATGCGCCCTCGGCGGCCGGGAGCGGAGGAAGATGCTGCAGGCCAGCGGCTACAGCCTGGTGCTCTCCCTGCAGCTCCTGTTGTTGACCTACGACCTCTTCGTCAATTCCTTCTCGGAGCTGCTCCGCGCGGTGCCCGTCATCCAGCTGGTGCTGTTCATGTGAGCTCAGTGGGCGGGACTGATGGCCACAAGCGGCGTGAGGCCGGGACAGTCAGGCCTTGGGAGCTACTCACAGGGAGTCTGAGGAAGGAAGCACGGGGACCATGAGACGCCACCGGTCCTGCTTCTCTCGCTCTGACGGGGGCCTGGGGGACCCGAGGAGCAGTTCACATAGACTCGGGGTCCCACTGCTAACCCTGCCACTTTCTGCATCTGTGAGCAGAAATACTGCCTCCTGTGGCCATGAGGAGGACTGCACGATGGCAAGCTAAGGGGGCAATTGTATTCATAAAATATATGACTGTCACACGACGGAAGCCGTTGGCATTTCCCTTCACAGTAACATATGGAGACTCCTCGAGGCAGTTCGGGGGAAAGTGCAGTCTTAGGCGTGACCGTCCTCCATTCAGCAGTGCCCTGGCCTGCAGACGGCGCGCTCGTCACAGTGGCCACCCCGACCTCCTGCTCCCGTGGGGTTCCCGTCTGGTGGAGAGGGAATATACATATTTTAAAAGGGTCATTTCAACTAGTGGTGTGTCCTGCAATGGACAGGCAGTAGCGGGGAGGGGCGGGGGGAGGGCCACTTTAGCTCATGGCGCTGAAGGAAGTCGTTCTGAAGGGGGACACCTGACCTGAGACCTGAGCGGCCCTGAGGCGCAGCCGTGCAGAGATCAGCAGGCGCTTTGCAGTCTGGAGGGGAGCGTCTGCTAGGACATGTGCCCGGCTGTGTGCCCGGCATGGCGGCTCTGGACAGAGGGAGGGACTAGCTGCCCACAGCGCCCGGGGGCTCCTGGAGGGAAGCGTGTCAGCAGGACGCCTTGTCTGTGGCTGCAGCTAGCTGCGTGGCCAGTGGGAGCCTTAGCTTCATCTCATTTGGGGCCCAGAGCGCATGCTCCCGGGGGGGGGGCGGCTTCGGAGGACGGGGTCACAGGGGAAGGACAGCGTCCACGGTCCTCACAGCCGCCCGTGGCTGTGCTCTGTTGCATTTGCCTGCAGCATCCAGGACATTGCCATCCTCTTCAACATCATCATCATCTTCCTCCTGTTCTTCAACACGTTCGTCTTCCAGGCCGGCCTGGTCAGCCTCCTGTTCCGTAAGTTCAAGGGGACCATCGTCCTGACGGCCGTGTACTTCGCCCTCAGCATCGCCCTCCACGTCTGGGTCATGGTGAGCGGGGGCTGCAAACCTCTGAATCCTTAAAGGGCCAGGAACAGCTTTCCTCGGGGCCGGCATCGTTCTCGCCCATCGCCAGACCCTGATCTGAAAGGGGAAGGGAGTGTGGCCGGGACTAGGGGATGTGAGTCTCTGAGGCACTTTTGCCTGACCTTCCATGTTGGAGACCAGCTTCTGGAACATTCAGTTCACCTTCGCGCCAAACAGGTCTCCTGGGGCCCAGACGGGAAGTTGAATCTCTCATCTGTTTGGGTGGGTGTTGACCCAGGGAATTTATAGGCCCCGGTGTCTCACGGGAAAGAGCCACACCAGAGTGCTGCTTGCCCGTCTGTGCCTCTGGCCCCCGTGCCACCATCGCCCCAAGAGAGCCGACGCCGGTGCCTCCTCGGCGCTCGATGGGCGCAGAGCAGACGCAGTTTTCGTGGTTCCCGGTTCCTTCCGCCTCACGGGTTTCCTCCCTCGGGTGCCCCAGGGTTTCTCAGGTCGCCTTCTGAGGGGCGCATCACAGCCTCCGGGCGTCTGGTCATCTCGGCACTGAAGCCGCCTTCTCGGGGGGAGGGAGCCGGCTGTGCCAGGTCGCAGGTGCTTCCTAGAGAAGCTGGTCCCTGCTCTGGGTCCTGGCCGTGTCCTGGGAGCCCGTGGTTACGCCGCGGGGCGGGCCGTGGTTACGCCCCTGAGCCGGAGCTTTTCAAGGACGCAGTGCCCCGAGGCTGCTAGTGTGCTAGTGTGGCCTTTCTCCGGGCCGGGCTGGGGCTGAGGGGTGAAGGTATCACCAGCGTAGTTCACACCTCCTCCCTCAGCGTTCAAAGGAAATTTGCTTCACAGCAAAAAGGGGCGCTTGAGTGCCCCTCTGAGGACCACCCCTGGGGGCTGCAGAAAGTGGGTGAGATCAGCCTGACTTTAAACCAGTGGCCACTCTGCAGCTCACCCCGTTGGAGGCCTTAGGGCCGCTCCGGGCCATTGACCTCTCCTCCCTCCCTGTCTCCTGCAGAACTTACGCTGGAAAGACTCCAACCGCTTTGTGTGGACAGAGGGGCTTCAGACGCTGTTTGTGTTCCAGAGGCTAGGTAAGGGCGGCGGCCTCAGGCCCCCGCGGTCCCCCTGCGGCTCTGGCGGTGAGGGCCTGGGTC